AAAAAAAAAATAGAAACAGGGTCTTGCTATGTTGCCCAGGCTGGTCTTGAACTCATGGGCTCAAGCAATCCTCTTGCCTTGGCCTCCCAAAGAGCTGGGATTACAGGCGTGAGCCTCCATGCCTGGCTGCCAGTCAGCCTTATATCAACAGAATCAAGTAGATGGACCCAACAATCAGTGGATATGAGAAGTTCAGTAGATCTCTTTCACTCTCACAACGCTTCTCTCGTTTTTCTCTTGCTTCTTAGCTACCCCATTCACTGTGTGTGTGTGTGTGTGTGTGTGTGTGTGTGTGTGTGCACTTCAACTGCTCTTCTGTTTATGTGTCCGTCTGCCCCACCAGAACATGATACCCCCCCATGGGAAACACCGTATGTATTGGAATCTCATTCTTCATAGCAATCATTTATCGTAAATATTGTTATTCCTACTTTAGAAATGGGGAAACAGGCCCAAAGACTGTAAGAACCTTTCCCACCATTGCACCACTGCAAGGTCAGTGTGTCAAAGCCAGGATGGAAACCCTTGGCTTTTTCATGCCATTGCCTATAAGGAGACAGTGTAGGTAGGACCCAAGTAATTTTCCCTGAGCAAGTTCCCCTGGTTGCTTTTCCTTTTCTTCTATATAGTTTCTAATCTTTTCTGCCACCTCCACAACCAAGGGACCCCTCATGTATTTGGGGTAAATTGAGATACCCTGCATTTAGCCTTACTCTTTCCTTGAACCTCAGATGTTCAGTCCTCTTGGATCACAGAATATTTTTAAGCATCTGTAAGAGGGAGAAATCAGTGCTGTTTATGATCCCTTGTCATTCCCTAAGAGGTGGATTCTGAGTAGGATTTTTTTTTTTTTTGGCACAACTGTTTTCTTGGGGTGGGGGACTGTGAAGACACAAACAAGAGCTCAGAGATGTAACCTGTCTTTGTGTATAGTAACAAGAGTAGAAATCTGGAATTGGGCAGCAAGGGGGGGCTTCTGAGTGAAATCTCTTGACTGTCAAGCCAACAGAGGATTTTGTGGAATAAGAAAAGAGATTTTTGGCTGCTCCTTTCCCAAATCTGAGTAACTTGGAAGGACAGATGTGTTTGTAGGGGCTGTTGTGGCATTTTGCCATGCAATTTGTGACACACGTTCTTAACTGTTGCAAATGGCTTTAGTATTATATTTTCTGTAACATAATAAACACATTATCATGAAAAAAGTTTTTAAATGTTTTTGTTTTAATGATTTCATCCAGCCAAATCCACAGCTGGAGATGCCCCAAAAGCAGAAGTAGATGAGTTCCCACAAGGTAGTGCCCCAGATGGTCTAGAGATTGGGCCTGTCAGGATTTCCAGGGAGCACTAAACACCAGGATGATCAGTCCAAAGCATTTATTGGGAGAACTTACTCACAGAGTAGGCTACAGCATCCTCACAACAGACAACAAGGATGTCGTGCCTAGGTATACCCACAGTGGGGGGCGGGGGGGGGTCCGGTTATGTCGTTTTACAGGAGAGTTTAACGGATTTGGTTCAGGGCCAGAGCTAGTTTCTTTCAGTATTTTGAGCAACCACCTAAACACCTTTATCAGCGCCTGAGAGTGTTCAAGGCTCCAGCTTGGGTTCAAGCATGCTGGGTAAACACACAGCTGGCTGGGTCTCAGTGCAGACAAGGCACTTTATTTTTCAGTCAGAACAAGAGAAAAAGCAGGGGAAATGTGGGGTGGGTGGCCCTAGAGACACCATGCAAGGTCTGTGCACCACATTTTGGGAGATGCTTCCATTAAGTCCAACACTTTTGTATGTGTAATTTTTTTAAAAAACATCAGATTACAACTAAAGTCATCATATACACCATCAGTTTGTCTACATTTAACAATTTCCAAATCTTTCCTTTGAGAAAAGTGCAAGTTTGAGCTTAGAAATTGAAATCCCCCCAAATCTGCTTCTTACTGGAGTCAGTCATCAATTTCATGAAAATTCTGCCTTATCTCGTGAGGTTGAAAGAGGTCACACATGTATACAACCTAGCACAAAGAAGTAATTCATAGATAGTACACATCCAGTAAATAGGAGTTTTATAATAATTCCTCTTATTTTAAAGATAAATGGAGCCATTGTCATAATTATACACAGATCTAGGGTCAGTTGGCCCATTCACAGCCACATAGCACAGATTAAACTCTAGGGAAATTAATACAGCAGTGACTTTTTAACTTTCTGTGTGCAGAAAGTTAATATCAGCAGACAAACAGGAGCAGATAGCTTTCAGATTGATACTATCATTAGAAGCATCTTCAGAGAAGATGCCCCTCATAAAGTTTGAGGGGATAGGTACCTGGAGCTGCCTGTTTTGTCACTGCTGTTTAAGTAGGGTCCAAACCTGAGAGAAGCAATCTAGAAAAGCTCATTATGGGAAAGCCTAGCCCTACATTACTCAGCCTTGAAGAGACTTGAGTTCCAGGGAATGGAAAAAGAGGTTTTACATAACAACCCATTATATGAAGCTAGAGGAACCTTGAAAACAAAGTCCAACAAAGGAGAATATGAAATAAAAGTACAGGTAATGTCACTCATAAAAATCCTTAAATAAATAATTAGAACATAGATTACCATGACCAAATTGTTGGTTTAAATGTACAAGCTTGCCAGGCGTAGTGATTCATTCCTGTAATCCCAGCACTTTGGGGGGCCGAGGCAAGCAGATGGCTTGAGCCTAGGAGTGCAAAACCAGCCTGGGAAACATGAAAAAAATATCATTCTCAAAAATTGAAAAAAATTGAAAAATTAGATGGGCATGGATGCATGTACCTATAGTCCCAGCTGCTCAGGAGGCTGAGGTGGAAAAATCACTTGAGCTTGGGAGGTCGAGGCTGCAGTGAGATGTGATCACACTACTGCAGTCCAGCATGGGTGACAGAATGAGAAATGTTTCAACTGTTAAAATTTAAAAAGTACAAATTTATTGGATGGGCGTGGTGGCTCATGCCTGTAATCACAGCACTTCGGGAGGCCGAGGCAGGTGGATCACCTGAGGTCGGGAGTTACAGACCAGCTTGACCAACATGGAGAAACCTCATCTCTACTAAAAATACAAAATTAGTGTGGCATGGTGGTGCATGCCCGTAATCCCAGCTACTTGGGAGGCTGAGGCAGGAGAATTGCTTGAACCTGGGAGGCGGAGTTTGTGATGAGGTTGTGGCATTGCAGTCCAGCCTGGGCAACAAGAGCAAAACTCCGTCTCAAAAAAAAAAAAGAGTACAAATTTATCAATGTAATTCACTACATTAACAGATTACTGGGGGAAAAATCCTGTGGTTATCACAACAGATGCAATGTTTGATGAAATTCAACATATGAAATTCTGTTCTCAGCAAGAACAGAATGGAATGACTGACAAAGTCCATCTACAAAAACAATACAGTAAAAATTGTCCTGAAATGTTGAAAATTTCCATTTCTCATCAGGAATAACACAAACATTTCCACTATCACCATTGTACCAGGTGGGTCTGCCCAATGCCATAATATCAGAAAAGGAAATAAAAGTGTTTAAAATGGCAAAAACAGGCCTGGCACGGTGGCCCATGCCTGTAATACCAACACATTGAAAGGCTAAGACAAGTGGATTACTTGCGCTTAGGAGTTCAATAAAAGCCTGGACAAGAGGACAAAATCCCAGTCTCTAAAAAAAATAAAAAACAAAAAAAAAAAAATGGCAGGAATGAAATTATTCTTATTTGAAGATAATATGGTTCTAAATGTTGAAAACTGAAAAAAATCTAGAAGTAAACCTTTTTTTGTTTTGTTTTTATTATTATACCTTAAGTTCTGGGGTACATGTGCAGAATGTGCAAGTTTATTACATAGATATACACGTGTCATGCTGTTTGCTGCATCCATCACCCCGTCATCTACATTAGGTATTTCTCCTAATGTTAGCCCTCCCCAATTCCCCACCCACTGCTATCCCTTCCCTAACTCACCAACGCCCCTGACAGGCCCCAGTGTGTGATGATCCCCTCCTTGTGTCCATGTGGTCTCATTGTTCAACACCCACTTATGAGTGAGAACATGAGGTGTACTTCTAAGATTCTTAAGCATATTTAACAAGGTTGCTGGATAGAAAATCTATACATAGGAATTATGCCTCCACACACCAGCTCAAAGAGTTAGAATATAAAATTTCAAAGACTGAAAGACATTTCACATCATCAAATATCTAGAAATAAAATTAACAAAAGATGCAAAAGACTTCTTTGCAAAAGGCTGTAAAGCTTTATTGAAAGATTTTTAGTGAACAAATTTCCAACATAGGAGCAGCCTGCATCATTTCAGTGTGTCTTCTTTTAGTGCTGTGACTGCCTTTCACCTGAAACAAAAACATAACAGTTGGGAACACCACTGAGCAGCAGTTTATTTAGATGACCATAAAGGTATACAAAGGACACTACAGTTTGAGTTTCATAAAATACACTAAAAACAGGACACTAAGGGTGATCCTGTGTCTCATATCAGATTAAACCTCTGTATAGACTTTGAGGGTAGACCTGCAGAATTTACAGTTTATTTCTTCCTAAACAGCAAGTGCTTCCTTTAAATTCAGAAGCACTTATAATTAATAGTCAGCAAATTGGAAAACACGTGTAAAACACACTTCAGTTGATTACTCAGGAAGTACTAAAGTCATGGTCTTTGAACTTCAAATCTTCTCAACTGATGTTCTTAAAAGCTGAAACTCATATGTAACATTTGATATGTTTAAGATGATTATATCACATATGTGTCTACAGTCTTATTAGAAATAGTGCCTCATGAAGACTGACAGTGGGGCAGGGAGTGTGCTTAACACAGGCATCTTACTCATACCTATGCTGAGCACCACTGATCTACATGCCACACGTGATAGAAACTAAACAGTCTCAAGCCATTTGATAATTCAGTCATGCAAGGTTTTTTTGGGAAAAGACTTAAAAACCAATTATTCATGAAGAGCCAGAGAATCCCAGACTGGGCAACATAGTGAGCTCTCATCTCTACTAACAAATTATTTTAAAAAACAAAATTAGTCAGGGATGGTGGATTCTGCCTGTAGTTCCAGGTACTCAGGAGGCTGAGGTGGGAGGATTGCTTGAGCCTGGGAGGCAGAGGTTGAAGTCAACTGAAATCACAACACTACACTCCAGCCTGGGTGACAGAGTCACACTCTGTCTCAAAAAAACAAACAAAAAATGGCCAGAGAATTCAGAATTTGATGGAATCTCAGAATAGGCATTCAGGTCTCCACAAAGAAAACAAACATGAAGCAGAGGGCCTGCTCACTTTCTCAGTATCAATGAAATCTCAATTAGATGTCTTAAGATGACTCAGGCCAGAGTTTGATGATTGATGATAAAAAAATCATGCAAAACTGACAATCTCTGTATCCTACGCATTCTATCCAACAAGATCAGGGTATGAACGTACCAGAATGGAAAATGATTTTAAAATATCTGACACAAACTCAATATTTTATAAGACCAAAGACTGCTTTAGGAGTTAAGGGATTCGTTAAGCAAATGCTATAAGAGCTGGTATTAGACGCTACATCAGTGCTTCGGCATATTTCACACTAGCTGATGGGTGTTACAAATGTGTTAGGTATTTGTTAAAAGGAGATCCTTACAAAAGCATCTGAAAATTATAAATTATTGGTTTAAGGACTTATACTAAAAAGTTGTAAATCGATGCATAGGGGAGGATCCAAGATGGCCGTTTAGGAACAGCTCGGGATTGCAGCTCCCAGTGAAAGCGCAGAGGGTGAGTGGACGCCGCATTTTTATTGCCCACAGGCTAGGAAATTCCCGGGCAGAGGTGCTCCACAGTCGCCAGCGCCGGTTGTTTCGGCCAGGGCGGCTGTGCCGGCCAGCGCCGCTGCTTTGCCCCGCACGGCTGCTTTGTCGGCGCCCCGGAGCAGCGGTTCTCCGTACAAAATACACTGGTCCGGGTGCCCTTTTGGCTGGTGATTGGAGCCATGGGAAGTTGCCCATTCGTCTGTTTAAAAAGAGGACTGAG